AAAAAAACAAACAAAAAAACCTGACCACATGCACAGGACACAACATATTGGAAAGAGTTTGTTTTAGTTAGTTAGTGCTTGTGGCAGGCACTCTCCCAAAGATATCCACATCCTAATCTCAGGATGCTGCCAATGCGTTGCCTTACGTGGCAAAAAGACCTTTTCAGACACAATTAAGTTCAGGATCCTGAGACAGGGAAGTTACCTCAACTATCCAAGTGGTCCCAATGTAATCATGAGTCCTTGAAAGTGGAGAGACTTTCCTAGTTGCAGAGAACAGGAGAGATGGCAGCATGAGAAGGACTTGTCTTACTGTCACTGGCTTTGACGATAGAAGAAGGGGCTGTGAGCCAAGGAACTGGGTAGCCTCTAGAAGCTGTACAAGGCAAAGAAACAGATTATTTTCTAGAGACTCAAAAATGAATGCAGCCTTGCTCACATCTTTATTTTAGTCCATTGAGACTGTGTGGGACTTCTAAGATCCAGGCGATCAGGAAATAAATTGGTTGTTCTAAGGTTCTAAGTTTGTGGTAATTTGTTACAGCAGCAATAGAAAACTCATACATGGCCACCAGCTGAAAGGATCTAGGGACGCTCCCATTTGGTCTTAAAACAATGTCACAAAGTGGGCCGAGGTATCTGCTTAAAAAGAAAAAGAAAAAAAAACTAAATAAATTTCTTATTTTGTAAATTTTCTTCCTTTCAAGGATCTTCACATTCACATTTTCTTATCCAAATTTGGTCTCATGAGAGAACCTAAAACATTCCTAATAGACTAGAAGTATCCATGTGACTGATGCCAGCTTCGAATATTCAATATACCTTTCAGCATGGATCAAACCTTGAAATAAGATATGAACTTCCAAAATATTGTCTTCAAAGAGCAGCCAGTGGTGGAGAAAGAATAGGGTGGGGCAGTAGCTTTCCTCAGGATCTTGGAAACATTCCACACAGGCAGGTACAAAGTCTCCAGTCCTTCTGGCTACACCAGGACATCTTGCAAACTTTGTCCTGATCCCGTAAACTTTGTTACTCTGTCTAACCTATACATCTATACCATTAGCAATGGAAGAAGGAAAAATACAAATGGCTGTAGGGTAGAATAAAAGGAGTGGAAATAAGGGATAGAAAAAAGCTTTCTTTTTTTTTTGGAGTCAGAATTTCGCTCTTGTTACCCAGGCTGGAGGGCAATAGCGCAATCTCGGCTCACCGCAACCTCCGCCTCCTGGGTTCAGGCAATTCTCCTGCCTCAGCCTCCTGAGTAGCTGGGATTACAGGCACACACCACCATGCCCAGCT